ATTTTAAACGTTTCTGTATCTGTGGGCGCTCGCGGGCGTTTTATAAACTTCGTTTAGATACTTCGGGAAGCTCACAGCGTTTTTTAAAAAAAAAAACAAAACTTGTTTTCTACTTCATTTTTCCTTTCAGGGCTAGAGGATATTTATTTACGGGCTGTTTTGTGATCAGGTCCGAGGCTGTGTGGGGCTTTGACTTCAGCCTCTTGCCGGCCTCTCTCCACCAGGTCCACCCATGTCTGGGTCCCCCACACACGTGGCCCAGAGCTCCCATCTGCCTCTTTAACCCTTTTCAGACCCCTCTTTTCTACAGACGTTACCAGCCTGGTGTCTCCGTGTTAACGGGACGTGATCTGCCTCCCCGTGCACATAGCGGCCTCAACGGTGGTGCTGGGCCGGCAGGGGGGCTGCCGACGGGCCGGGCCCGCTGGGAGGCCGACCCTCGTCCCTGCTCCCGGTGCTGGGTCCCACGTGTGCAGGGGGAGGAGCTGTGGGGGAAGGGAACCGTGTGCAGACCGCGGGAGCCGGTGCCGGGGGTACAGCCCGTGCGAATGGCAGGAGGTCTGGGGAAGGCCGTCAGGCCTCTGGTGACCCCGAGGGGAGGAGCACAGCCTCCAGACGCAGGAAAGGGAAGGTTCCTGTCGCCTTTCCCCCCCCACCCCACCCGGAGCTCAGCCTGGATCACTCCCTGGACACACAGCTGGAAACCTGTCCTTAAAGCACAATATAAGCCCCGCGGTCTCCACTCCGTTCCCTGAAGCAAAGCCTCTGGGTTTGCCTGGGGGGAAAGTTCTTCTGAATTTCTAAATAAGTTGTATTTTGTTCTTGGGCCTCTGTGTAGGAAGTGACCGCCAGGCCCGAAGTACAGGAAAAAGCGTTTGTAACCTCTCCAGGAGTTCTCGGTGCGCATTTCCATCCACGGCCACGGCCATGAGTGAAGGAAAAGCCCCCCGGCCTCGGCTGTGCCCCCTCCCCGGCCACACCAGCGTGACAGTGCCAGCTGGGCGCCCGCGGTGGCCAGACACAGCCTGGCGGTTCACGGCGATCGGTTATGTAACTGTAGATGCATACAGTTTTGTTTTTAAGAGAGAAAACGTACAAGTGACGGAGGAAGGAGGTGAACAGACTAAGATATCCCGAGGGGAGGCCCCTCCCCGTCTGCACATGAAGGGCTGTTTGAACGGAATGCCGTGCGCGTTTTCAGGAAAAAAGCCTCTGATAAGCAGACTTGGGATGGATGTTTGTTCCTCCTGCCCTTCCGGCCTCGCACCTGCGGGCGTTCAGAACGTGGATATGGCTGGACCCCTTTTGTGGGAGGTGGGGACGGAGACGACGGGGGCCCCGCGGGGACCGGGGGTCCGGGGTGGGCTCTGTGAAACAGCTTTGGTCTCCACTGGAATGAATAAAGTGTAAAGTCGTACGTACCTGAGGATGCGCCTTGTCACGTGTCGTTCTTTATTGGAAACGCGACCGCAGACGGTTCTTGGGCCACGACCGAGAACCCGTCACGATGGGGTTTCTGGGGCATGTTTGGAGAGCCCCGGAATTGAAATTCTGTCGCAAACGCGCTCCTGCCGGCCGGGGGCAGCGGCTGACACCCCGGGGAACCCAAACGTGTGCGGCCGCCCGCCTGCCTGGTGGGTCGGTTCCTGGGATTTCGCAAACGCTCCGCGTGGCGCAGCCACAAAGAAGGGTCCGGCGCTCGGGCCTCTTCTCAAGGCCGTAAAGGGCTCAGAAGTGGAAGAAGAGAAACGGCCAGGTCACGACAGTCCCCAGAAGTAACCGCAACAAGACGGTTAAGTGGCCGCTCCCTCCAAGGACGGGGGAATGCGCCACGGCCCTGCTCGGTGTGACGCGCCAGAGAAGCCGGGCCCGCGGGGTGGGCTGGGAGGGTGCGCCCCGAGGTGGCACTCACCCGTGAAACGGTTTTTACTGCTTTGCCCTGTTTCTTGTCATAACTGGGTGTTGCCTCTCAAAGGGTTCAAGTCACATTCGAAGCCGGGGGCTTCCGGGTGTGGCGGGAAGAAGCAGCAGCCGCCATGGGCTGTGGGAACCGTGGCGGTGACAACGGGGTGTGCCTGCCGCGGCCTCTGGGCACTGGGCACATCCACGTCCCCTCCGGGCACGGGCTTGACGGGGACGCGCACCCTCGGGAAGTCTCCATCAGGGACCGGGGGCAGAAGAGGCGTCTCCGCAGCCCCGGCCAGGCCCCTGCTGCGCACCCCCGGAGCCGCCGGTGGGAGAGCGCCAGACCCCTGGCCTCGGCTGGTGGAGCGGCGCTCTGAACGCTCAACGGGCGCTGCCCGTCGGTCCCCTGTCCGCTCCCGCACGCGCCTCCCGTCCGGGGTGCTGCCCCTGAGCCACCGCTCCAAACAGACGCGTTACCTTCTCCCCGGGACTAACCCGCCCGCGGACCTTCGCGTCCAGTCCTGGGCAGCGTGAACGCGGATGCGGTCACACACCCCCCCCCGAATGTTGCTTAACAGAACACAGAGCTCATGTCCACCGCCGTTCACGTTTCCACCCACAGCACGGGGAGTCCGCGGAGTGGGGGGAGTGAGTGAACGGCTCCGTCGCACAAGCACACGCCGTGCACGCGCACACACCGGGCCAGGAAGGCGTCCGCGTGGCCGCTTACGGGGTTTCCCACCCGCACGCACGTGGCCTTGGCTCCCGCCGTGCCCGGAAGGTGAGTGTCCTTACCTAGCGGAGCATCTCCGTCCCGAGGTATCTGGAGCCTTTATGAGCCACGATCTTAGTGATGAAAGTGCCCGGAGGGCCACGGGGCTCCGCCCTCCCCGTCCTGCGGGCCGCTGAGCTCAGTGCGGGGGAGGGGGGGGGTCAGCTGTGTCCCCAAATGGAGGCGCTCCATCCTTAGGAACCATGACCCCAAAGCCCCGAAGAGAAGCGGAAGTGCGTGACCGGCCTCCCGGGAACGAGGGCGTCCGGCAGGTCCCCCCCTCGCCCCGGGGGACAGGCCACTTGCAGACCCGTTGGTGTCTGGGTGGCGAGCCGGTCCGCCGGGCGGACGGCACAGGGAGGGGCGGGGAGTCTGCGCAGGAAACACATCAGCGCTGCTCCCGCTTCCCTGGCCAGAGAACCACACGCCGCTGGAATCGGCTTGGGGGG